GTGAGTGTTTTAATCAAATGTCGACCCGCAAGTTTTTTGGAAAATTTTAAGATGTTTCTCTGTAAGAGTTAGCTATATTTTGAGTTTTTCCTATATTTTAAGGCCAATTTCCAGCATTTAAAGTTATTATTTATGGTAAAATTCTGTTTTTATGAGTAATTATGCTAAGAGAACCATACTGCTCCATTTTTCCAGATGTTATAGCATGTTAATACAGTCATCATCAGTATTGTGTGGCACTGTGATACAGGGGTGGGGGCTGGGGGCTGGGGGCCGGATGCTGGAGGTATCTCTGTGAAGACGGAGCTTGGCTCTCTGCCGTACGGGAGCAATGATTTGCTCCAGTGGCTGTGATACGGCACGGGTCTCGTGGGGGGCTCATCCATCTCTCGCAGCCTTGAGAGTAATTTCTACTCCACAGCCACAGCTCAAAGTTTTCCCCTTCCTTGCCCATTATTGTCAGCCAATTATCATGTGGAACTGAACTAGAAAATCTGGTACAATCTAGCAATTAGTACAAAGGGCTTCCAGCGTAGTGTACAGGAAGGCATGCTGGAGCCCCAGCGGCTGGGAGCAGTGCCTTTGATTGGGCACAGACAGTGGACTTTAGTGCTGCTTGGATACACCGTAAAGATGCTGCCCGCTGCCCTTGGGCTCCGAGGGGCAGAGTGCTGCACGGCCGGCTCCCCCATGTCGCTCTTTTGTGTGCCGTTTCTCCTTCTGCGGCGGCTTCTGCTTTACGTTACCCATTATGTCATCTCCTTCCAAGGAGCGGCTCATCAGCAGTGGCAGAAAGTGACGTTTCTGAAAGGAGATAGATGTGAACGCCGCGCCGTGACAGTAAGCGTTACGGACGGCGGGCGCCACGCCTGCTTTTACTGCTCCGTGCGTCCCGGCCCGTTTCTCCAAAGCGGACACGCAGCTGGAGCGTGAACAGATTTACCCGTTAGCGTGCTCAGAGCTGGCTGCAGCGCTCAAACCGTGGACCAGGTCACAGGCACCATAGCTACTTCTCAGCAGCTATTTGTTGTTTTTGTGGCAGCGGTTTTAATGCTATTTTTAGCTTTACTTTTTAAAATTAGTATTAGCTATTATTATTAGTATTAGCTATTATTAACTAGATATTGCAGTTATTAGTAGTTTTTATTGAAAATAATTTTTATGAAATGCTAAGAAAAATTAAAAAGCTCTGAGTTTGTACAATTCATTTTTCTTAATATCACATATACGCCTTTAGCTGAAGCTAAATCAATTATTATTAAATATATTTATTAAAATAAACACTTGTAACAAATTTATAATCACACATTAAATATATTGATATTTTAAAAATTGTAATTACATTTATAATCATATTATTTGTTAAGCTGTAGACTTTTTTTGCTTTATTGCTATTTGCTTTTCATGATTATTAATCTAAGCATTTCCTCTAATCAGCTTTAGAAACCCACTTTGATCACAGGAATTGAGTTAAATTGAAGACAACTTCAAAACAACATTAATATCCTTGTAAAGATGCCAAACCTTTTAAAACCATGCAGAATATATTTATTATTATTTTTAATGGCACATTTGATTCTTTTTCTTGGGAGAAGCCCTCAGCTGTCTGTTGGAAGTCGTGTGCATGTGATATAAATTTTCAATATTTCTGTGCTAAGCTAAGGTCTAGCTAACTTGAGGCTTAGTGTAGCTGGCCCTGCTGGTGTCCGGCTTGCATGCACTGTCACAGACTGAATCCCCCCCCCCCCTTCGTGGCCCATTCCCTTGGTAATTAAGGTGCCAGAGAAGAAACAATGGGATGGCGAATGAACTTGCTAATGCTCTATGTGTCTGTCCAGGAAGCCCCCCCACTCCCGAGCGCTGCCCTGGCCTACCCTCAGTGGGTCCGGCTTTGTATCAACGCCTATGCATTCATCCTTTTCACTCTCTTCATCCAATCTGGGCCCTCTGCGCTAAGACTGCCAAATTAGCTATTCACTAAGTCCAATTTGCAGAGGTGGTTTTGTGATGTTGAACATCCATCCTCAGAACTGAGAGAGAAAATCCCCTTATTTTAACCCTGCACCCTCGACAGGCATTTAGAAAAACCCTAATCTCCAGCAGTGTCCGTAACCCCAGTGTATCGTCACGGACATTACAGGAATCGTGCTCCCCCCTCAGTAAGGATGGATTCGCTCATTTTGGTATGATGCTGTATCCACCCTATCTGTGAGCCATGCAAATTCACATTATCTAATGAATCATCTCATCTCATTTTCTTACCATAACCATTTACCAAGAAGTCCACACTTTTTACACAGTTCATAATATCTTAAATATTATGTAGGATCTTGTAATTCATGGTAAAAGTTTTTGTTATCCTTCTGGTGTTCCATTTTTGCAGTCTAGTTATAATACTGCAGCTGAAGTAGACAAAATTAGTATCTCTGAAATAAGAGAGTAAATCTGCCCCTGATTTGCAGACAATGGGCAGCCCTGTTTATCCTGCCATACAGGGATCTGTAGCTGATTTACAGGCAAAGCCAGACCCAGCAAATCTGCAAATATCACAGCGACTCATTGTTTACTCTCTGTCCAGTGCTTCAGTGTGGTCCCTGCAGAGTGAGAAAAGGATAGAGAGAAATAGGATTATAGGGAAATCACAGGCATGCTAAAAGAAATAATACCTTTTTTCAAAGGTTTGTATAAGCTGTAGCATCTGACAGATTTTTTTGTCATTCAAGAACAGTTGAATATGATAGCCTGAAAATTTACTCCAAAAGATTGATGAATATATAAATTATGTGTGTGTATGTGTGTGTGTACAATTAAATTTCGATAGTCATCTGTTGACTTACTTCCTATTCAGTAACGTCTGATTGGACTTATGTCCCTTTTTATAAAATTTATCGAGAGACATCTGAACCAATGGACTTTAGCAGATGTATTTTACCATGTGTGCAGCATGCGGCAAGAACCAGAACAAGCCAACGGTGCTGCTATTACAGAGGTTTAGTTAGATGTGTGTGATACTCTTATGTTATACAGTATATTTGACCTCCTCCATATAATGATCAGGATACATCCAGACTGACTTACACCCTCACTTCCGGGACACAACCTGGATGTATGTCGATGGATACATGTATGTCACTGCTTTAAAAATCCTCTCAGTTTCATAGCAAAATGGTATTTGAAAAAATCACAGAATAGTCGTGAAATATCATTAGTCAAATTCAGAATTGTTCATGTCCCAAGACATCACTGAAGCAATTTTATGTATACGTCCATATGTATCAAGCAGGCCTGCGGTGATAATGGGGGATGAGGCTGTGTGCAGGCTTGTGGCTCTGTGTGTGGCGATTGTGCATTTAATTATGGAGGGATTCCCAGGGGCTGGAGCAGGAGGGCTGGTTGTCCCCAGGGCGTAACTCCCAGCCGCTCACTCCGGAGCTTTCCCAAGAGGGGTCAACAACAGTTGGCAACCTCTCAATTCCCACCCGAAAAGGAATTCTTAACCCCCCCCCCCGTCTCCCACCCCCGCACCGCTGTCAACAAATCACAAAGGGGCTGACTTTCGCGAAATGTGTCAGCATTTATGTTTTTTTGAGTTTTCTGGAATTTCGAAGGAGTCAGGTCGTTCTCATGAGTTCCATGGCCTGACCTGACATTTTTGCACTACATGCTGTTATAAAGTCTAACACCCACATTTTGAAGCTGAATATATTTCCATCTCACTCTTACGGAGCTGAGGAATATGGACAGTAATGTAATAATACTGGCATAATTAAAGAATGGCGATGCTTATAGGCTTCAAGCCCTGATAAAGAGTCCTTGAAAGAAGCGTAGCGTTTCATTCTGACCTGGCCGCTTTGAGCGGCCGGTGCACTAATCAGCGCTGGTGGGAATTTGCTGAGGCATAGAGTTTTCATGCTGCCGATGACGTCCCTGCCCGTGTTTAGCCGTTACCTCAGTACTAATATTTTCGATTTTCAAAACGAAAAGTGCCCAAACAATGGTGCGGCACGGCAAGCTGGGCGTCCCGGCATCGGGCCTTGGTTTGCGGCCCTGGCGCCCAGCTGCTGCTTGGGTTTCACGTTAAGCGCCGCCGTGCACCGAGAAAATGAGGCCCATTACCATGACAAACACCGGCATTTGGATGAGAATGGAGCAGGCGACACCGATCCCCCCATTACAAGGGAGGTGCGGGGGGCTGCAATTTACCTGCAGAGGCACCTGACCGGCGAGAGGTGTGTAATCACGCTGGAGAGGAGACCCTGAGGGCTCTGCGATTAAGCTTGCCCCCATAGAGGCCCTTGCTGCCATATCAGGGAATTCTGGGTGATTCCGGGAAACTGCCCTCCATCACTAAGTCCCGCCCCCCCCATCCTAGCAAAGGGGAGGGGTCTCCCACTGGGATAGCTAGATGCGTTCATACTGTCGTTTTGCTCATATAGTCATCTTATTGGCAAAATTGTCATAACTGACAGCAATAAACCAAAGTGATTGAATGTTAGGCACAGTGACAGGTGCAACATTATCCAACTTCATTTAGAAATTTAGAAATGAAACTGATTCAGTTAGAGATTATATATTTTTGAATTACTTAAATATATTATTATATGAATAAAACGGTGACCTAGAGCGTCATATATGTGTGGGATGTGACATGTTTTCAGCTCTTGGTTTCAGTGATCCTTGGTGTTCGCCATCTCTGTGCCTCGCTCAGGTGAGGAGGGGCAGCTGGCTGTGTTTAATGCTGTGCCGTCCTGGGATTCATCACCATAAATACCCAAGGAAAAAAATGAAGTGATTGCATGCATGAATATTGCTCCAATCAGATTTAAGGAATGCAAATTCAATCAAATATGTACGATATATTAAAAAAGAGGCCTTTCGCCTTAGCATCCTCGGGTCTGATGTCTCATAGTCAGCGCTAGGCTAACCCAGCCCAATGGTAATTGCAGTTGGAGTGGTGAGGGCTGTATCCGGACTGCACGCTCTCCACTTCACTCGCTGCA